TTGTAAATAAGATTACAATACCTTGATAGTTCCCCCACACAGACTTATCTCCTTTCTTGAAGATAGTCATGATGTTTGCATTCCTTAGGTTCTCAGGGATCTTTTCATTGTTCCAAATGCATAGAATAAATGTGTGGAGTCTCAGTACCAGTTCTTCACCACAAGGCTTGTAGATTTCAGCAGGTATGCTGTGAGATTCAGTAGCCTTGTTATTCTTGGTTTCCTTGATGACACGCCACAATTCTTCTAGGATAAGAGGGTTGGTGAGAGATCTCTTTTCAGGGTATTGGGATATGGGTTTGATGGTGGTATCCACCACAGGGGACTCATGGTTCAGGAGTGCCTCAAAATGCTCTTTCCATCTAGCTTGGATAGATTCATTGTCTTTGAGGAGCATCAATCTAGCCTGTGGTTGCTGGAAAGTAGGACCATGGGAAACTGAGCTGTAGATGAGCTTCATTGCTCAGAAAAATTATACATGTTATGTTTGTCAGCATAGAGCTTGATCTCATTGGCTTTATTTTGCCACCATTGATTTTTGATTTCCCAGATCCTCTTTTGAGTTTTGGCTTTTGGAAGTTGATGCATCTTTTGCTGCTGCTGAAATGAGGTGTCTTCTTGTCAAGCAGAATGAGCCCTTCTCTTCCAGTCATTTAGGGCTTGGATCTCAGTATTGCATGTGTTGAGGACCTGGGGTTTGGACCCTGGTTTGTCTGTAACCTTCCCTCTGGCCTGCATGCCATGGGTGACCCTGCCAGAAGTGTATGGCTTTGGGCAACATACCTCTGAGGATCATTGAGACACGTAAGGTTCTCCACCACTACAAGATCTTGGTCCGCGGAGAGAAATTTATATCAAAGATTATGATGAAATACACGGAGAGATAATACATCGGGTAAATAGGTTCCAACCTATGTAAGTCTCTAGTGTGAAAAGTCAGCATTAAGACTGTGAATTGCCCTATAGGCAAAAAAGGAAGGATCAAAAGCCAATGTTTGCAGTAGTCACATTACCTGAATTTCAGGTCAGTTTGGATGTGATTTCCAGATTCAGCTTCACCACTAGTACTGATATTTTTAAGGGCTTGAGTCTTTTAGCAATACTCCTGCTGATTAACACCTGCTATCATGTGTAGCATATATCAAAAGGAATATTTATACATTACATTTCCAGGTCTGTTCTTCCGGAATAAGGGTGGAAAAACTGGGCTTCACCATTTTTTCACCAGATCCTGTACTCAACATCCTTTTGATATAAGATAGTACTAAGCTTTGTTACAGCTATAGGCAGAGGCATAACTGGCACAATGCATGAACTAGGTGCAGTGACCAACAGGTTCACTGCTCTGGCGGTGTTGGGGGAATGCCACGTTTTTGGTCATCAACACACATTGAGTTGCCAAAACCCCCACCATTTTTGGCAGCAAAAAGAGGAGGGGATGCCTCACCAGCAGCAGCAAAACTCAATCTGCTGCTCTGAAGGTGAGCATTGCCATTGATGCCCTGCCTTCCCTACTGTTACAGCTGCAGTCACTGCAGGAAAGGTGCAGGATGTGTGTGGAAGGATGGGGAATAGGAGGATAAGGAGCCTTTTTAGCTCAATTCCAGCACTCCCCGTAGCACTTAGACCTTGCCCATGCCTTGCTCACCCACCCATTGTTATGCTACTGGCTACAGAAAAGAGCCAGCAGCCTTAACAAAATTGCATTAGTCACCCCTAATGTCTTTGTCAAATCATTTCTGTGAAATACTGATGTGGGAAGAAGGAATAACTGGTGAATGTCTTCAGAGTGTCCTTTGCACACAACAAAGCAATATGTCCCTACAAACACTGAGTGGTGATTGGTAATACAGACTGAGAGGCTTGTTTTAGCACTCACGACAGTTTAAAAACAATGGGTATTTTCCTTCTATCTTCAAGGAAAGTTTTTCTGTCTGCCTGTTGATTTGAATAATACTTATTACTGTAAGTTCATCACTTTGAGCAGATAAATGTTAAAAGGTTCTACAGAAATACACATTTATATTTTGATGAATCAGATGATTTTTAAAGGGAAGCTGTACTGGATTAACAACTATATAATCCAGGATGTGGTGAAGTTATGAAGTGTTTGAGTATGTGAGAGCCATGTAGCTTTCTTTCACATAGTTGAGCCTGCTGATTTCTTAAGGCAATTTTAATTCTGTAACAGCACAGTGGCATAAACCATACATTAAAATAGCTATTAAAGAAGCATTTCTTATTGAATTTTCAGCAGTAATCTCCTAATGAGAATTGCTGTCCAAAGAAATGTTGTCAAAATAGGTCTACATTTTTGCTCTCAAGAAATTTTTGTGGTAGGAAAAATAGCAATACATTTATGAATTATGTATGAACAGCAAACCTTTTAAAGCACTTGGCTTATAGAGTTACTTTATGTAAAGGGAAAACATAAAATGGTCAAGTAGCAAGTCTGGTGAGAAATGTATTGAATGTAGGCAGACAAGGTTCTTTTGGTAAATGTGATATCTTTTATTAGACCAAATAAATTGTTGGAAAAATTGTCTACCTACGTTTTTAGACCAACACAGCAATAACCAACAAACCTAAAGCATGGAAATTATTGAATCTAGTGTTTCTGGAAAATTAAATTAAATACTATTTAGGGAACCTACAAAATATTAACAAATTTAGAAGAAAAAGTCTGCTATCTTCACATATACAAATCTAGTAAAATGTAATCCTCTTCATGAAGATGTTTGTTCATACAGCAATCTTTGACCTGGAGGCCATGACCAAGTTTCAAGATGATCTTGGCAACCCTTCTGTAGCTAGAGGAAGTAACAGTGTAGAAAAGTCTCTGAAAATCATTTATAGACAGAAGGAAAGCACTGCATTTTGAAGGGGTCATTTTGGGTTTTTTATTAAATTTTAAACCATATAAAAACATGAATATATGGCAGCTTCAAGACAGCTTTGAGGTAGAGTGCTTTTCAGTAGATGGAGAAGGTGTTTAATGGTACAACTTACTCCAGGCAGTCAACAGATCCCAAATAACCATGCCTTTTCCTTTAGACTCCAATCTAGCCTCCACCTTCTCTTATTATTGGAGTTGGATGGGTAAAAAATTGGCTGATGGGGCGCACCCAGAGAGCAGTGGTGGACAGGTTGTACTCAAGCTGGCGAGATGTGAGCAGTGGGGTACCCCAGAGCTCGGTCCTCGGGCCCGCACTATTTAACATTTTTATCAGTAACTTGGACGAGGGGGTGGAAAGCACGTTGTCCAAGTTTGCTGATGACACTAAGATGTAGGGCGAGAGAGAGACACTTGAAGGGAGAGAGAGGCTGCAAATAGATTTAGACAGACTACAAAAGTGGGCAGATGAGAATAGGATGTGGTTCAATGTAGACAAATGCAGGGTGCTGCACCTTGGGAGCAGGAATCCACAGCATACATACAGACTGGGGTGTGCCCCTCTTGAAAGCACAGGGGTGGAAAGGGATCTTGGAGTCATTATTGACTCCAAGATGAACATGAGCCACCAATGCCAGACCACTGCCAGCAAGGCCAGCCATACCTTGTCATGCATCCAAAGATACATCTCAAGCTGGTCCAGAGACGTGATGCTCCCCCTCTATGTGACATCGGTCAGGCCGCACTTGGAGTACTGCATCCAGTATTGGGCGCCGCACTTTAAAAAGGATGTGCCCAGCCTGGAAAGAGTTCAGGGGAGGGCCACCCGCTTGGTGAGAGGGCAGCAGGACAGGCCCTATGAGGAGAGACTGAGGGACCTGATCCTGTTCATCCTCAGCAAGAGGAGGCTGAGGGGGGACCTGGTGGCTGCCTACAAACTCTTCAGGGGAGATCATCAGCAAATAGGAGGGCCCTGTTCTCCCCAGCACCACCTGGGGTGATGAGGAACAACGGTAATAAGCTGATGGAGAATAGGTTTAAGTTAGAGATCAGGAGGCAATATTTTATAGTTAGGGTGGCCAGAATCTGGAACCAACTTCCTAGGGAAGTGGTCCTCGCCCCCACCTTGGGTAAATTCAAAAAGAGGTTAGATGATCACCTGTCTGGGGTCTTGTGAACCCAGCATTCATTCAGGGTCAGGCTTGATGATCTGTTCAGGTCCCTCTCAACCCTACCTACTATGAAACTATGAAACTATTGATGCAGCCCAACCTGGCTGCCGGGTAACTTTTCCACAGAGATAGCCTTGCCAGAGAGCAAAATGTTCTGTTCTTGCAACTAGTGCTGCTGCTATGGTAGTATACCAAGGATTAGCACCTATTGTGATAGATGTTATATAAAAATAGTAATGTAAGTAACAAACTCTGCCGCTCAAAAATGTTACAGTCTTGCATCGTCACTTGACACTAGGGTTGATCTATTATCTGTCTTCTCCTTCTTTCTCTTCTCTCTCTCTCACTCTCTCTGTCTGTCTCTGTTTATGTAGCATTCATTACTAACAAAGAACAAATACTGCTCAGTGATTAGTTTAGGTAACATAATGTTTAGGTAAAATGATCAGTGGATTGAAGGATTGCTGATGTGAGCAGTTAAGGGGGTTGTGTTTGTGACCTATTGGCACCAGGCTGATGAGAACGTTATCCGTGATGGAAACTAGCAAAAATGTTTGTCACGGATGCCACAATTAGATAGGTTCCTAATTAGGTAGGTACCAAAAAGCAAGTACTTACACAGCAAAAACTCTGGCATATCTTTGGAGTTTTGCATAGAGAAAGTTATTGATTTTTGGGGGGGAGAGGGAGGGAGGATCTGAATGTTAATAAGTAATGGAGAATTCTTAATATTATCCATTTACAAATACACATAACTCCTGTCCTCCTCTCATATAATGGTCTAAATTCTATATGTATGAAACATTTTTAACAAAATAAACCAGAAAGAAATGCCACATGGATCTATCAGTAACAGCTGTTAATTGGTTGAAACCATACATGTTAGCTATACAGATTTAAGGAAATGAACATCATTGTACTCTTTGTGTCTCTAGGGATCCGAAAAGACCGGAGGGGTGGGCGTATGTTGAAACAAAAACGCCAAAGAGAGGAGCAGGATGCCAGAAATGGAGAAACTGCTACTGCTGATATGAGAACCCCCACCCTCTGGACAAGTCCACTTGTGATTAAGCATACTAAGAAGAATAGTCCAGCCCTATCCCTGACAGCAGAGCAGATGGTCAGTGCCTTGCTAGAAGCTGAGCCTCCCATAGTCTATTCCGAGTATGACCCAAACAGACCTTTCAATGAAGCCTCTATGATGACCCTGTTGACAAACCTTGCAGACCGAGAACTTGTGCACATGATCAACTGGGCAAAGAGAGTGCCAGGTAAGAAAAACAAAACATTTGAATACTGATGAAATGAAAAAAAATACAGTATAATGAATCTCCCTTTTGCTACTTCTACATGCATGAACGTACATATATACACACCCTTTCCTAATATCTATAAATCATTCATAATATATCTGAAAAATTACAAGCTTCAAGTATTCCTGCTTCATAGGAAGCTTTAGAGGAACACAGGCCAAGCCTAAGAAAGCCTTTTTACTGGGAGGAGGGCAGGGAAATACTGCACATTATAATGAAATGTGTGGCAGGGGTGCTGGGTTGTCTCAGGCCTAACTGACTGCAGAACTATAGGCTTTCTATAGTTAAAATAGAATAAAACCTGGTGCAGACCTGGAAGTCATTGTGGACAGTGCATTAAAAACATCAGCCCAGTTAGAAATTATTAACAAGAGATTTGTAAACAAAATGGAAAGTATCATTACATCCCTTTATAGAGCCACAGTGTGTCCACACCTTGAATACTGTGTCCAGTTTTGGTCCTCACACCTCAAAAAGGATATTAAAAAACTAGAGAAGGTACAGAGAAGAGCAACAAAGATGTTTAGTGGTATGGAGGGGCTTCCACATGAGGAGAAACTAAAAAGGTTAGGCCTTTTCAATTTAGAAAAAAATGTTTGAGGGAGGGTCATGATAAGGGTTTAGAAAATGCTAAATGGTGAAGAGAAAATAAATAGAGATTTATTATTTACTGTCTCTCACAGCACAAGAACCAGGGATCATAACATAAATTAGGTAATAAATTTAAAAACAACAAAATGCAGTTCTTTTTCACATAGTGGGCATGTCTACATGAAATGCTTACTGTGCATTAGCCTAATAACACTGCACAGTAGTGTGGTGGTTAAAAACTGCTAATAGCCTACTGTGCAGTATTATTAGGCTAATGCACAGTGAGCATCACAAATTAACCACGTGCTGGTGCTACTGTGCAGTAACTGTTGTTACTTTGCATTTAGTTAGTACTTTATTAAGCAAGTATTAAACTAAATGTGAAGTATCTAAGGTATGGTAATTAATGTGTAGATGCACCCAATGTGTAATTAGTATGGAACATATTGCCAAGAGAAGTTGTGGAAGCTGTCAGTTTAACCAGATTCAGAAAGGGATAATAATAATAATAATAATAATTGGAACAATTATTCAGAATAATAATTGGAACAATTATTGAAGGAAAGGTAAATCAGTAGTTATTGAATGTGAAAATTAGGGGTACAGCCTCAGTGTCAGACCATAAATTCTAGAGGTGGCCAGTGGAAGAGAAATAGTGGGAAAAACCTTGGTTGTACCCAGTTCACTCAGCATCCGCTCTCTGCCACTGTGTGAGACAGAATACCAGACAAGATGAACCTATGGTCTGACCCAGTAAATGGCAGTCCTTAAATTTAGTTTTTTCTTGATGGGAAGTTGTTACTACATGAAAGATATTCAGTGGTTTTGTGAAATTTGCTCACTGTCTCTGGTCTATTTGTGAATGAACAGCTCTCAACATTGCAAAATGCCACCATAACTGGCACTGAATGGCATGGCTGCTGGCAGTCCAAATAGTGAAAGAAAGAATGAATGGACATTAAACATGACTATCCTTTCACAGAATCATAGCAACATAGAAAGTTAGGGTTGGAAGGGACCTCAGGAGATCATCTACTCCAAGCCCCTTCTCAAAGCAAGACCAGCCCCAGCCCCAGCTAGATCATCCCAGCCAAAGCTTTTTCTGACCGGGTTTTGAAAGCCTCCAAGGATGAAGTTTCCACCACCTCTCTGGGCAACCTGTTCCAGCATTTTACTGCTCTCCCAGTGAGCAAAATTCTTCCTAATATGTAACCTAAATTTCCCTTGCTGCAACTTGATACCATTGCTGCTTGTTCTGTCATCTGCCACCACTGAGAACAGTCTAGCTCCATCCTCTTTTGATCCCACCTTCAGGTAGTTGAAGGCTGCTATTAAGTCCCCTCTCAGTCTCCTCTTCTCTATACTAAATAAGCCCAGCTCCCTCAGTCTTTCCTCATAAGTCATGTCCCCTCACCATTTTTGTTGCCCTCTGCTGGACTCTCTCCAATTTTTCCACATCCTTTCTGTAGCGGGAGGACCAAAACTGAACACAGTACTCCAGATGTGGCCTCACCAGTGCCGAATAAAGGGGAATAATCACTTCTCTTGACCTGCTGGCAACACACCTACCAATGCAGCCCAGTATGCTGTTCTGTCTTGGCAACAAGGGCACACTGCTGGCTCATCTTGAGCTTATTGTCCACTCAGGTCCTATTCTGTAGTGCTGCTGCCCAGCAAGTCAGCGCCCAGCCTGTACTGGTGCAGGGAATTGTTCCATCCTAAGTTTGACCTCTGGGCTAGCACACTGACTCCATACTATACTTGTTTTGTGGCTAAATGGATGATATCAGTTCAGTACCTTAATAAGCATTATTTATACTAAGCATTTATTATACATACTATACTATGCATAATGTTTTAACTTTATAATGATATTATAGCACTTTATTAGAATTACTGATGGACATACATACTCATTTTTGTATAACCCAGACAATTTTTAATCTCTAGCATTTTATATTGTAGCCCTTTATTTTAGGAAAAATGTCCAGATTCTATGAAGAGTAAGTCCACTACTGTGGAAGGAGTTAGGTCAAGTGCTGTAGGTCATGACTCTTTTTTGTTGTCCTTCACTTAAACTTGGCAAAACTTTCACTGGTAAATCAATAACCCATAAAATCTGAGTCTCTTCCAGGCTTCATGGGTTCCCTTTTTACCACCTTTCACATGTCAGTTTGTGGGCTCGAGTTAAGATCAATGAGAAGCTGCAGGAGGTGTGTCATTTCTCATCATAACTTAGAGAAAATTACATGGGAATTTTATTTTTAACAGAGTTTCAGTTTTAGGGCCTGATCCAAAATCTGTCAAAGTCAATTGGAGTTTTTACACAAATTTCCATATACTTTGAATCGGGCCTCTACAAAAGATATTTGGAAAATACCTTAGTGTTTAAAGCTACTGGCCACCAAAAAGGCTAACATTAAAAAACCACAACATTCCTTTTAGTCATCCCTGGTATTACTCTCTGAAAGCCTATGGAATAGGTCTTTTAAACTCATTATATGAACTATTTTCTGAAATACTAAATGAAGAATTCCATTTCCAATGTTTTAGCTTGTTTAGTTAAAGAATAGCAATTAGTTCAGAAGAAACCATGGTTAGGAAATCAAAACTATTTTTATGAAAATTAGGTCACATGAGAACTCTTTATAAAACATCTTACTACTAGGATGGAGTTGCTATCAATAAATAGATAAGCTTGTTTTATTAAATATGTGTCATTTTGAAGAATGTTTTCTGAAGCTGGGAAATCAAAAGAACAGATTATCTGCTCAGCATAGTTTAATATTATTTTATAGATATTAATGCAACTGTTAAGTGCTAATTATTGGAGCAAGTCCCAGGTGAATCCCTCAAAAAACAATATAGATAGTCATTTTGTTTCTTGCTTCCTTTGACCTGATCTTTAGGCAAATTAGAACAATTTTAACAGGAAACAGTGAGAGTGTCTTCCCTCCCATAATCCAGAATGGCCTGTAACCTGGTGGTTAGCATGCTTCTGACAGGTGGGAAAGAAATCCTAGTGGCAGAAGATAAAATTGATTGCTCGTATCTCACATTCTGGATGAATATGTCAGTGGATGTATCTGACTTATTGGTAAAAAGGATGTGACACTACCATCAGTTATGTTTTGAAATACAAGAGCACTGGGCGATGTGTCTTCTACGGGCCTTGTAGCACAAGACACTCAGGACATAGTTTCATAGTAGCTAGGGTCAGGAGGGACCTGAACAGATCCTCAGGCCTGACCCCCTGCCACAGGCAGGAATGAATGCTGGGTTCACAAGACCCCAGACAGGTGATCATCTAACCTCTTTCTGAATTTACCCAAGGTGGGGGCGAGGACCACTTCCCTAGAAAGTTGATTCCAGATTCTGGCCACCCTAACTATAAAATATTGCCTCCTGATCTCTAACCTAAACCTATTCTCCATCAGCTCATTACCATTGTTCCTCGTCACCCCAGGTTGTGCTGGGGAGAAAAGGGCTCTTCCTATTTGCTGATGATCTCCCCTGATGAGTTTGTAGGCAGCCACCAGGTCACCCCTCAGCCTCTTCTTGCCAAGGCTGAAGTGGTTCAGGTCCCTCAGTCTCTCCTCATAGGGCCTGTCCTGGTGCCCTCTCACCAAATGGGTGGCCCTCCTCTGAACCCTCTCCAGGCTGGCCACATCCTTTTTAAAGTGCGGCGCCCAGTACTGGATGCAGTACTCCAATTGTGGCCTGACCGAAGCTGCATAGAGGGGGAGTATCATCTCTCTGGACCAGCTTGAGATGCACCTTTGGATGCATGACAAGGTATGGCTGGCCTTGCTGGCTGTGGTCTGGCATTGGCAGCTCATGTTCATCTTGGAGTCAATAATGACTCCAAGATCCCGTTCTGCCTCTGTGCTTTCAAGAGGGGAACTCCCCAGCCTGTATGTTTGCTGTGGATTCCTTCTCCCACGGTGCAGCACCCTGCATTTGTCTACATTGAACCCCATCCTATTCTCATCTGCCCACTTTTGTAGTCTGTCTAAATCTATTTACAGCCTCTCTCTCCCTTCATGTGTCCACCTCACCCCACATCTTAGTGTCATCAGCAAACTTGGACAGCGTGCTTTCAACCCCCTCATCCAAGTCACTGATGAAGATGTTAAACAGTGCCGGCCCGAGGACCGAGCCCTGGGGTTCCCCACTGCTCACATCTCGTCAGGTTGAGTACAACCTATCTACCACTACTCTCTGGGTGCGCCCCATCAGCCAATTTTTTACCCATCCAACCATGTAGGCATCAATGCCACAGTCACTTAATTTACTGATGAGGATGGGGTGAGATACAGTGTCAAAGGCCTTCCTAAAGTCTAGAAAGACTATGTCCACAGCGACAC